TGTTTTCAGTTTCACTGCTTTCTGTTCTTATCTTTATTATTTCTTTCCTTCTTGCTTTGGGCTTATTTTGCTATTCTTTTTCTAAGTTCTTGAGATGGCAGCTTAGATTATTGATTTGAGACTTTTCCTCTTTTCTGATGTATAAATCACCGATGATATATTCATGAATATTGTATTATCCATATTTTTGCTTGCCATCCTCTTTCTTCCTTCTTAATGTTCCTCTGTTATTGTTTCCTTTCTATTTAGAGAACTTGTTTTAGTCATTGTTTTAGGGTAGACTTGTTGGCAACAAATTCTTCATTTTCCTTCATCTGAGAATATTTTGGTTTCCTCTTCATTCCTAAAGGATATTTTCACTGGGTAGGATATTTTCTGGGCTGACAGTTCTTTTAGCACTTGAGAAATATTGTGCTATTCCTTCTGGCCTCAGTGGTTTCTGATGAGAGATCTACTGTCATTCAAATTTGTTTTCCCCTACAGGTAAGGTGTCATTTTTCTCTGGCTGCTTTCAAGATTTTCCTTTTATTTTTAGTTTTCAGATGTTTAATTAGTTTAAGTTTAAGTTTAAAATGAGTTTAAATTAGTAAAGTTAGATAAACTTTGGGTTTATCCTGTTTGGGATTTGCTCAGCTTCTTAAATCTGTAGATTAATGTTTCTTGCCAAATTTGGGAAGACGTCATTCCAGTTACTTCTTTGAGTACTTTTTCAGTCCTTCCCTCTTTATCCTCTCGTCCCAGGACTCTGGATGTTTTTTTATTTGTTTGTTTATATTGTCTTGTTTTTACTCTATTTTTTTCTCCATTTCTCTAGTTAGGTAATTTCTGTTTTTCTTTTTTCGAGTTCACTGATTCTTTCCTGTCTTCTCCAGCAGGGAGGGAGAGAGGCAACTTGTTAGGGCCAGGTTGGGGTAGAAGTCCAGGTTCTCCACAAAATTGTTGCATAACAATTCTCCATAAATTGTTGATTTAATGCTGAATCACTCAGAGAAAAGTCTGACATCCATTTGGGAATTTAGCTGTCTGTCCAGGCAGATCCCTTCAGGGGGAATTTCCCTGACAAATTCATGACAGGCCTGAATGTGGCTCTTGGGCCATTGGCTTGAAAACATGATGGTCCGCATGATGAGAATGAAGTCTCTTTCTCAAAGTGGGCTCACATTAAATAAGTTCATGGAGGCCAATGACTAAAATCTAGAATGTCAATTAATTAATTTCAAATAATAAGTTAGCCATTAGATAGACTTGAAAATAAATGCTTTCTCTGGAGACAGATGAACACGGAAAATTTAATTATAACTAGAAGGCTGCTTAGCCTGTAACTAGAAAAAGAGCAGTGAGCTAGGGATTTTAATGACTGATGTCATAGAGTTTTGAAAATTGCTGAGGACATCTCCACCACAGGGTCATACCTGCCACACCACCTGGTTGGTCATCATACTTGACCAGGACACCCTCTTTTCTAACCATGAAATAAAATACTACCAATGACTGACTTTCCCTTTTCTAAACTTCCTTTACTGACTAAATGTCTTAAAGATTGTAATTTTCTTACCCTAAATGTGTTAGTACTTTTAATATAGCTTTGTTTGAGTCTTGGCCAAAGCTCATTCTGACTCTGTTTTGTGACTAACATCTCTCTAATTCGAACCATCATTTAAAAAAATTGTTTAAAATTCAATGTGCATCCTTCTTCCAAAGTCCTTAAAGGGAATCTTGTTGTTGTCCCTATGAATGACCTACTAAAATTAGAAACATTATTTGACAACAAAGACTAAGTGATAGTTGGTCCTTTTCTTTTCCCAGAAAAAGCTGCTGCTTCTTAAGGGAGTAAAAGCTGACAAGTGTATGTCTCTTCTATAACATCAATTTTAGGAAATAGAAAGAAAGAGAAGTCAGAGATCTTAGAAGGTGAAATAGAGTGAGTTTGGTTCCATGTCTGTATCTTTGGTTTTAGGGACTTTAGGCAAGTGTGTTTGGAGGTGGCAGAAGTTGGACTGTGAAGTATAACCTCCCCCTCCCCATATGGACATTCTCCCTCAGGTACTGTCTTTGGAGCATTATGGATTGCCTTTAGCGAAGCTGGAAGATTTCCTTTAGCATGTGCTAGATGAATTGGTTCCTCTGGTCAGATAGTTATCATGCTTAGTTATAATACAACAAATTGATTTCTTATCATCTCTCTAATAATTTAGTTCAAATTCATTTCCATTTAGGGAGAGAATTCAAACTTTCTCACATTTAGGGATGAAATTCAAGTTCTCTTGTTTATTGTTCAGTAACACCTTGTTGAGATGATGATTAATCTGATAACCATATATCAGGTTCTGTCACAAAAAATAAGACTTTTGAGTAAAATTTGAAAATTACCTCAATGTGATACTTCATTGCACATAGGAAAACTGCTGATTTTAGGATCAAATTCAAACTTCCTAGTTTAATCTACAAGACTGTATGATATAGCACTTGCTTAACTTCCAAGCCTCATCTCTCCCAGTTCTCTCTGGTCCTAATAGAGTTCCTGATCTTAGGGAGTATGTATCTAGTGTGGAAGATGGGTATTAGTCAAACATTCACACAAATAGAAGAAATACCACAACTGTAACAAATGTTATGAAGGAGAAAAGTGTGTTTCTATAAGAACATAAAATAAGATATCTTTTATATTATCAAGGATGTGAGAGAGATCAAGAAAGTCTTCTCTGAGGAAATAATGATTGGGTTGAGATCTGAAGGAACAGGTGGAGTTAACAAGGCGAAGAGGGGAAGAGGAAATATTGAAGTCAGAAGGAAACAATATATTCAGAAACCTGTAGCAAGAATGCAGACTGTAGCACACAAAAGACCGGTGTGGCTTGAGTAAAGTGAGAGATGTACACGTTCAGTTCAGATGTAACTAGAAAGGTAGGTATGGGATGAATCATGTTAAGGAACTTATTTTTATTATAAGAGCAATGGGAAGCCACTGAAATATTTTAAACAGAAAAGTCACAAGATAAAATATGTTTCAAAGTAACACCTTGGCTGCTTATGGAAAACAGATTGCAAAGGGACAAAAGTGGATTCAGGAAGACCTTTTATCAAACTACTGGAGTAGTCTAAGCAACTGATGACAGTAGCTCCTTTCCGGAGGTCCTGCATAAATGCAATTAGAATTGCTGTTTGCTTTGCTTTCATTGGATGTTGGTATTATTGGAGTACAAATACATGTTTGCTCCATTTCTGAGCTTGTAAATATTTGTAACACAACCAATAATTAAACATTGAGGATACCTTACTGCTTTCCATATTTAAAGCTACTTCACCTTTTTCTGAAAATCTGTTAACGTCATTTGAACTCCACTTCGAAGTCTATTCTACTCTTTCTTTGTACCAGTTCTGAGAACTGATGTGGGGAGAAAGAACTGGAGGGGACAGATGTGTGGAGGGGACAGTTCCCTGCTAGGGCAGCAGAGAAAGTCCGTATGATGAGGGATAAAGACTGAATTCACATTTCTCCTGCTGGAAGTATCCATAATCTCCCTAGGCCACAAAATACTTCTTCTAGCAGATGACTGTCTCACAAGAAACTCTGAACTACAGGAAAAGAAATCACAGTTCTTAGAATAAAAGATCCGCCTCCCCCTACCACGTGCCTCCCTAAACCACAGGAAAAGGCAGCTCTGGAAAAGAAACTTGATAGCTGTCCAAGTTCCTAAGCTAGCTTTGTATATTTGTTTCATATCAAAGTTTGTAAAATAATAATTGCCAATTTGATATTTTTAAGTTTCTGATAGTGGTGTTGTCCAGGTGTGGACTCTGTGTGATTTCCTCTTTCTTCATTTAGAATATTGATAAACAACAGAGTAATAATTTAAAAATTTGAGTCTGTGTTTGTAATTGTCACAATATTTACCAAAAAAGGTGAATTTCATGTGAACAGCCAGTGACAAAGAAATCCAAGAAAGTGGCACGGCATCTTAACGTTTTAACATCTTACTTTCTTAGACAAAGTATAGTGGTAAAGTATACAATGCAAATGATATATGGAGGTATGTGGGCATGTTTTTGACATTTGGAAGGTGTGGTCACAGAGGTGGGATCCCAGTTTGGGGACTCATTTAGAGAATTAACTCCAGTAATGAACTTATCAAGGACATAACAGAGCCTCAGTTCCAGAAAGAGAATGAAGGATGAGGCAGGTCACAGGTCAGGAACTCAAGAACTCAGTGACTTCGATTTCACCAGAGACCTCAGGGGAAATGCCAGAATCAGGTTATGTAAAATATATATGCTGTGCTTTTCTTCCTGGTTGAACTAAGTTGTAAAGAATTTAACCTCATTAAATAAAGCAAAATCCGGACTTTATATGGTTTATCTCTGGAATAAGAAATGCTAGGAGTGGAGGGGCTGCTTAAAAAAGTGTTGACCCTGTGCCCTGAGTTTCGTTCACTCCTTGGAGGGACGTCCCCCTTCAACTGAACTCACCCCTCTGGGCCTGAGAATCACCAGGCCTTTGTTCTTAGCAGGTCTAAGACAGATTGAAACTTTCAATGACTTTGTTACATGCGAAGGAAAAGCATAGGAAAATAGTTAGTAAATAGGTGGAATGTCAAAACATTTCATTTAACAAAATCCAGGGATCTAATCCTATCATATCTAGTTTTTCTGTATTTGTGGAGATTTCTGTATTTGGCCCTAAGTCATTGAAATCTTATTCTGTGTCCCTTCCTTCCTGGTTTTTGGTCAGTCTCTATGTATCAGTTTTAATTCTGACTACCTCCTTCCCACCCCTCAGTGATGAACTCCGTAAAATCTTGTCATTTTTCAGTGCAGACTAAAAGAGAGACTTTGCCTACCTGTTGCATATGCATCTTTTGCATATCTCTTGTCCACTTTTTCAATTCTGGTTTTTAGTCTGAAAAAATGGGCTTATTCCTCATGTCACTGACACCAGGAATGACTTTCAGGTGAGACTTTGACCCAACTCCCTACCTATAGATCTATGCTTTATATTGCAGGCTGAGAAGTTTAACCATCTCATTCAAATGGCAAACCCACTATTCTTGCCCCCGGGATACACACATACAGTAACAGGTGAGTTGTTCCCTCATATAGGGCCCAGCCATAAAAGCAGGGTGGTCATTCCATTTCATGGGAAGTAAAGGGGTTTAATAAGAGTTCTTCTATTCTCTTGTTCATGGGGAGGAGGAAGAGTTCCCAGGGAGAATAGAGGAAATACTGCAAATAGTAAATCTGGAAGTATAGGATTCTAATGACCTGAAGAAGAATTAAAGCCTGATCAAGAATTAGGAATGTGGACAAAGGTGCCTAGAGGAGGTAAGTAAAGATGCAAAAGAAACTCTAAACAACTGAAGATACATAATCAAGATGATTCCCATGGAGGGGAAGACAGTTTCTGAGGGAGAAAGCTCAGAATAAGGAATGTGTCCTTGTCAGAAAAAAAATGCTGGCATTTGGTGAGCTATATATTTTACGATGTTCAGAGGACCTGGGTATAACTGAATTGCACACCACACGATAGCTACACCTCCCCATGAAAAATCTGCCTACAAAGAATAATGAAAGATAGGAAGCAAAATATGATTTGTTTCCTGGGCTTGGCCCCTAAGCTCTAACTCTGAGAATTCTTATAAGTTGTGCTGAAGGACAGTTTCAGGAGCCTCTATTTCATGCTCCTTCTTAGAAGCCCAGAGCCTCAAGCTCAGAATTGTCCACATACCAGAACAGAGTGGCCCTAAGGCCACTTACCATTTTGCTGAAGAAATGGAAAAGAGAAGAGAGAGCGCCAATATATGGGCCATTTTTAAATCTACACTCAACTTTTGTCACTATTAAATGTGGCCCAATTAGTGGTGTGGATCCAACTAAGCAAAACAATGTTCCTCCTTAGCAGGAAGAATTAAGAAAAGGCGGGGGTGGTATAAGAGAAGTTTTGGAAATGTCATAATTCTCCTTAAGGTCTTATTCCCAATCTAGCAAAAGGCATAGATAGAAAGCATGTTCTGGTGAATGCTCGTTTTTTATAATCTCACTCTAAACCATGCCATTTCTCTTGATAATACTTTACTTGACTGCTGACCACTTCTTCCTTGCTACCTATACAATTGTTTCTTTGCTTCTGCCTCTTCTATTATTACTATTTTTTTCTCTGCTTGATCTATTGTCTTAATAGTGTTAGATTAAAATCTCCCCCTGTGATAGTGCACTTGTTGATTTTCTCTTGTAGTTTCAATAAGTTTTGTTTTATATGTTTTAAAACTATGTCCTTAAGTACCTACAATTTTAAAATTTTTACATTTTCCCAGTGAATTAAAACTTTAATTAATTAACAACACCAAGTCACAATGAAAATGAAAGATCTATAGGTATGTGCATCAACATGGATCAATCTGAAAGACAATGCTGAGAAAAACATGCCAATTACAGAAGACTACAAACACTTTGATTCCATACACATAAAATTCAAAACCCTGAAAATCTGAACAATGTGTGGTTTAAGGACATATGGTATAGATGGTAAAAATCTATAAGAAAATCCAGGATAGTGGTAACTTATGGGGGGAGGGAAAGGGTCATTATTAAGGAAGAGTATAGAGGGGGCTTCAAATAATGTTTTAATGTTCAAGATAATGTCCTATATATTATGTTGGTTGGTGGATATATATTTATGTTTTATTATGATTATTTAGTCTATGCATATGGTACATATCCTTTTGTATATATTTCAAAATGAGAATGACCACATAATTATATACAAAAAGAGGTTAAATACAATTTCAAGACTGCCCTGAATGGATCCCTAAACCAGGGGGTAGTTTCTTCCCCATGTGAGACTCTGAGACATCTGCTCATAAGGTCGGGCCTATCTGTAAGGCCATGCTCTCAGCTCAGCAAGGCCTTCCAGACCTGGGCCAAGTGTACCAGGGTGACTTTTCATGCCTGCGTTTATGACCGTGTTACAGTCCTTCAGTCTCCTGCTCCAATAGGAACATTCTTCACTAAATTTTCAAACCTGAAAACACCCCCAATTCTCACCCCCATTTACTTCCTATAGCTAGTCTTCTGCTTTAGTTCCTATTCAGACAATCTGTAAAATACCAAGTAAATTGGAATACTCACTTTGTGCTAGGCTTTACATATTCTAATTTACATAAATTTATTTAAACTTTGCAACAGTTCCATGAGGTGAGTACTGTTAGTTTTTCCACTTTACAAATGAAAAAACTGGAGTAAAGAGATTAATTAATTTGCCCCAGATTTTTTAGCTTCAAAGTGGGTCTAAAACCAGACAACTGTGGCTTCAAAGTCTGTGCTCTGAATGACCAAAGTCAGGCTTCGTTTTTGCCAATTCTCTTTCCAGAAGCTGTGGTCTTGTCCCTGAACTTTAATCCAGCCAACTAAACACGACCCTCTTGGGTGCTGGCAGCCTCTCTCCCAGACTAGATTTCTGCCACTATAGAAGCTCCATCACTGTGCCCCACCTCCTGTTGGTTTAGCAGCTCCTTTCATGTTGTCCTTTTGCCCCAAACTCACTATTTCTCAGACACTGTGAATTGTGTACATGGATGTGCTTGACAACTACTGTCAGCCCAGAGTTTCACTCAGTGTCTCTCTGTCCTGTCCGAGTGGGTGAATCTATTGCCAGGTGTGACTTCTTTTCCAACCTGCATTCATCTTCCTATGAGTAAACCACTAGTTTTGCCTATGAATTATAAGCCATTATAGATGTGCAAAATAATAAATAATCTGACAGGAAGTGAGAAAAATACGCTTATGTATGAGGAGGATATGTGCCTGCAAGAAAATGCAGGGACTGAGAGTGGACCCTCTCCTCAGAGCATGTGGGCAAAGCCAGCAGGGGACAGGAACTGAAGTGAAATAGCCATGGATACCCATAGGCCATGGGCAAGATGATAGGAGTAGAGGATTCCTGGCACAATTCCTCCTACATATGAGGTGATTAACACAAAATGTTTGCTTGTAAATAAATGACTGAATGATGCAAACTTTGTGCAAAGCATAAACCTGGCACAGACAAGATATTGTTATGAAAGGGAATAAGAATTAACCAGATATCTGGAGGAAACCTCTGTTTGAAAGCAGAGTCTGGAAGAACCTTGATTCCTCTCTGAAATTTTGTTTTCCAAAAGTAAAGAAAGAACTAGGGAAACCTAGCAACTAAGGGCCTGTGATGGTGAATTTTATGTGTCAACTTGACTGGGCCACAGGTTGCCCAGATATTTGGTCAAACATTATTCTGGGTGTGTCTGTAAAGATGTTTTGGGATGAGATTAACATTTAAATCGATAGACTGAGTAAAGCAGATTGCCCTCCCTGCTGTGGGTGGGCCTCATCCAATCAGTCGAGGGCCTAAATAGAACAAAAAGGCTGACCCTTCCCTGAGTAAGAGCTTGGAGTTTGGTCTTTTCCTTTTCTGATTTGAGCTGAAACATCTGCTCTTCTTGGGTCTCAGCCTGCCAGCTTTTAGCCTGGAACTACACCATCAGCTCTCCTGGGTCTCCAGCTTGCTGACTACAGATCTTGGGACTTCTCAGTCTCCATAATCACATGAGCCACTTCACTGTAATCAGTCTATCTCTGTCTTTATCTCTATCCCTATCTCCATCTCCATCTCTGTCTTTATCCTGTTGGTTCTCTTTCTCTGGAGAATCCTGACAAATACAGGGCCTAATTCTAACCAGTAAGGGGGAGTTTGTTGGTGATATAAAAATTGAGAAAAAATGAAAGAGTAGTATTAGATTTGAAAGTGGTAGATATTCTCAACATAAGAAAAAGACAGTTGTAGTTCTGCAGTGTGAGACTTTAAATGAAAAGTTGGCTTTAAAAGAGTTGGAAAACTCAGATTAAAAAAATACAAAATGTAATAGCAAAGAAGAAAAGGAAGAAGCACGTGAAGATGTTAAGGAGACTGTAGAGGGAGCTGTCTGATCAGCTCAGATATCAAAGGACAACTTAAAGATGAAAGAAGAGTACAGGACCAAAGACTGCTTTGTATGCACTCTTCACTGAGGATTAACCTAATAAACATTTGTATGAATAAAATCAAAATGAAAGTCAGTGATGAGACATTTAAGAATTGTATCCAGAAAAATTACATCCAAGTATGCTAGAAATGCAAAAAATGCTGTGGGCCAAAGAGGTGGAGGGGCTTTATTTTTAGCCACAGGCTATAGAAGAACAGATCCTGTTTTAAAAAAGAACAGATCTTGAGCCAGCCCTGATGGCCTAGTGGTTAAAGTTTGGTGCTCACCACTTTGGCAGCCCGGGTTCATGTCCTGGTCGTGGAACTACACTAACCCCTCTGTCAGTTGCCGTGCTGTGGCGGCAGGTCACATAGAAGTTCTAGAAGGACTTACAACTAGGATATCCAACCATGCGCTGGGACTTTGCACAGGGGAGCGGGAAAGAGGAAGACTGGCAACAGATGTTGGCTCAGGGCAAATCCTTCCCGGCAAAAAAAAGAACAAACCTTGCTCGAAGAGCGTGCTCTAATACTTATCGGGACAACGAGAAAGTAGACGTCTCAGTCCTGATTTGGTTACGTCTTGTCTTTCAAGGTATAATATTAGGCTGAGAAATGTTACCTGAACTCTGGAGAGAAGGAAGAGAGTGCAGAGTGGGGATGGAGCATCAGCAAGCCCCAGCCCATTTCCAGACCCAGGACTTAACATTCCTACCTTCCGAGAGTTTGCAAAGGGGATTCCTGGCATACAGCTCAGTCATTTATCAAATATGTGTCCTGTGCCTGGTACCAGGTCAGACACTTGAAACACAGAGGTGAAGACAACACAAGATAGTCTCCCTGGGAGCTTGAGGGATTCCAGAGAATGCAATAGGTGCTGGAGCTCAGGAAATGTTCTGATTTCCCCAAGGGAAATGAAGGGATTCCTCAAACTACCAGCTTCCTGGTTCTCAGACAATCAGGCTTCAAATCAATTTGATGTACCCTCTGTCAAACATCTGGTGGGCAATATAAGTGGGATTTAGGCTTCTGAACCATGGGCCCTTCTCACTTTGATTCTGCTCCAGCCCTACTCTTTCCTCTCTTGCCA